GGGGTGCGGATCGTTGGAGCTCCCGGCTGCGTTCCCCCGTCCGAGGTGGCGGTGCCTGTGCTGAGGGAACCCCGGCCCTCCGCGGGCACCACGGGGGCAGAGCTGGGTCCGTGTCCTTTGCTCTTTCGGGAGGTCCCCCCTGTGACTCCCACGGCTGCAGGAGAAGGTCTGAAACCTGGCCAGAAGGTCGCTGTGGGTGATGTTAATGCTGGTGTTTTTCCTTTTGGTGGGGCAGTGGAGCGAACATGTCTGGGATCAAGAGAGTAATCGTGGAGAAGGACCCTGACTATGAGGAGATCACCGTCACGCTTCCCAACAAGCGTCACAAAGCAGCCGAGCAGTCAGGTAGGAGCTGTCTGAACTGAAGGGATCTCATCCCGAGTGGGATTAGAAATGCTATGGATGTGCACACAAACAGGTCAGAAAAGGACCAGAGTAGGAGCTAAGGGGTCAAAGGGCAGAAATAGAGCAAGGAGCTAGCGACACCTCTGTGTAGCCTAGCAAAGATGTAATTGTCCTACATGGAGCCATTTCCACCAGCTGGCTGAACTGAGCTTCAGTAAGGCAGGAGGATGCAGACTTTGGCGTGTGATAACAGCTAGAGCACAAGCTCTGCAAGGCCCCAGCCGAGCGCTTTGGTTCCTCTGGCTTGCTGAATTATTTGCCAGTGCGTCTTCCCAGCAGTTACCCATACTGCGATGTGCTCCAGCCTGCTGCGCATCTCTTTTGCAGTTGAAGTCTGCTTCCAGAAAGATTGGCAGTTTACATTTTGGGGGATCCAGGTCCCAATACTGCACGGGGGGTGGGGGGGAGAAATCCATGACCCTGCAGTGGGATTAAAAGAAATCTGTGACTCTGCGGTAGGTAGACTGGCTCTTAGAAGATGACAGATGTTTGCAAGAGTAGGCAGATAAAGTGAAATGGAGCAGCATAGAAGGGGGTAAGTCAGGGAGAAGGAGGGGGCTTTGAAAGATGCAGAGGAGGAGGAGGAGGAGCAGCTTACCCGACCGAAGGAAAGGTGGATAAAGAAGTGTAGTGGAGAGGGTAGCTGGATGAGTAGGTTTGCATTTGGCATGCTCAGATACGCTTGCTTTGGGAGCCAGCCTGTTGGCTGGGTGCCTATGACAGGTTGCAGTCGTCTGTGGGCAAATGAGAGTAGAGCTTCTTGCCCCTGGGACAGGGAGTAGGCTAGTGATTTTTGGCATCGTGCAGCTAGCGAGAGGATCGTGATGGGAGGAGCTGACGAACAGGGAGATGAGAAAACTGAAGCTGGCTGTGGGATCTGAAGGAGATCCAGGAACAGAGCAGGATGCTGGAGCTGCCAGTTGGAGAGGGACAGATGATGGCTTCGTGGGTGATGTTTTGGAGGACAGCGTAGAGCTGGACAAGTCTGAGGAGACTGAACTCTGGGCTCAGTGTGCTGCTGGGCAGGTCATGGCTGCCAGGTCCGGTCGGGGCTCTGACAGTGGAGCTGGCCGTGGCATCGCCACTCCCGGCTGCCTGCCCTGCCCTGCCCTGCCCGCCTGCCAGAAGTCGCCACCCTCTGTGGTGGAATGTCCTGGTGACCGCAGGCAGGTTTTTAATCCGCTTCTGAAACAACTTCTTAGAAGGTCTTAACAGTTAGCAGGCAAAGTCTCAGGGCCTTGGAACACTGTCCTTGCCAAAGTGAACTTTCTGTTCAGGTGACTCCTCCACATTGGCTTCTTTCTTCTTCCCATGGAAGATCTCCAAGTTTTGATAGAAGAATTTCTTAAGTATACAAATTTCACTAACACAATCTTAATTAGGGACTGTGGTTGACGCTAAGCTGGGAAAAATATGAAAATAAAGTGTTCTTAAAAGCCTCTGTAATACAACCACAAATCCTAAAGTGCTTTAATTGTCATAATGCTGGTGTTGCATGGCATCAGTCTTGGGAAGAAGCAGTTGTCCCTGTCTGAACTGTACATCTCATACCTTAATCTGTTCAGGTTTATTTTAAGTGTAGCCTTACATGTGAATTTCCTAGGCACCATGTTCATTGTTTGAGGAAAATTATATCCCTCTGTTTTTTAATTTTGCATTACTCATGCAGTTTTAACCATAATCCTGTTTTAATGTAGGCTTGAACTATTTCTGGTCCTAAAATATATATACACAGATATCTGGAAATAAGTAAAAATATTTAGGATACCCCTGTTGTAAATAGAGCATCAGTTGCTTTACTCCTGTTGTACCTGATACCTGTAAACCTGTACTGTTTACAGACAGTAAAATTATGTATGCTAGCTGGAACATCCCAGCAAAGTTTTGATTTGCTTTTGATTTCTTTATTCTTTCTATTGGGATATTAGAAACCTCTTTAAACAGATATGTACCCTTTAGTCAAACAAATGCTTCCTCTGAAGCTCAAAACAAAGTCTTGGTGCTGTGGCCTCCTATTCGATGTAGAAACAATGTGAGATTTTTTTCAGAGGAACCCAGGCTGTTTCTCTGATCTTCTTTGCAGTGGGGTCACTACTTCTGACACAGGCTGGAGGACCTTTTCCAGGCTTTCTTCTAGAAGTATAATTCCTGCTTTTCCAAGTTCTTGCTTAGAACTTACTAAAAACAGATGTTGTTTGACCCTCCCCGATATAATGGAGATGACTTAAGGGAAGGGCAATATTAAAGTCTACGGTAGGTGTAGAACAAAAAGAATTAGTCTTCCTATGTTTATACATGTTCTAGAAAAACACAGTAAGATGCCAATTTAGTTCTAAGCCATTAGTTTGCAGTAAGGTATTCACACAGTTTGAAATATTAAACTACATGCTTTCCACTAAGATTAATAAACCCCTGCTGAAAGGCTAAAATATTTTGACTGCTGTGCTGGAAGAGGATTTTGTAAGGGGTAGACCAGCTTTCAATAATGTAGTTTCCTTTGTGGGTAATAAAAGGCTTGTAGGCACTCCAGAGCAGGCTGCACTTCATGCCAGTGCTGAATGTATAAAGTATTAGTTTGCCTTATTATTGCTGCATGCTGTGGTGTAAATTTCCTGGATGTGAATTGGGCCAAAGAGAGCAGAAAAATGTACATAGTGTTCCAACGTACTCCTGCGCAATCGCAGCGGTAACTGCACTTGGCCATAGCTCATTGGAGTTTTCCTTTTTCTGTTTACAGCTTTGCGGAGACAGAAGTAAACAAACCGGTCCTGTTCTTCCCATCTTCTGTTATTTATCATCTCAGACCTAAAAAGGAGAAAATAGCCCTCCACGTGAACCAGCTTTTAAAAATACATGTGGTTTTTGTTAAGACAAATTGCTTTCTTTTGCAGAAAAAGGATCCTTCCCTTTTTTTTGTGTGTGCTGAACGTATTATCCCTTCACTTCTCACTTCATAATGATTTCTGATCTTTAATTTTTCAAACAGAGCCTAAGAAATAGAAATATAAACACTTCCTTCTTTTTTTTTTCCACGTGTGGCCTTGTGCAGCTCGAGATGTTGCTGTTCAGAAGATTGAGACAATTATAAAAGAACAGTTTGCAGTCGAAATGAAGAGTAAAGAACACGAAATTGAAGTTATAGATCAGGTATAAAGGTTTTATTCTTAAAAATACGTAAGATCCTGGTGTATCGGCGTTCGGGGATATTGCTCCAGTGGTTATCCATTACTGTATGTTACCTCTTCTTTCTATAGCGCCTGATTGAAGCAAGAAGGATGATGGATAAGCTGCGTGCCTGTATTGTGGCTAACTATTACGCATCTGCCGGTCTCCTTAAAGCTGGAGAGGTAAAAATTACTTTGGAAATAATAAGACTTTAGGGAATATTTGCTGGGGAAGATGTGTAGTTCACTGACTATTCAACTGACGTTTGGTTTTGAGATGCGGTTTTCTGAAATGGTGGAATACGATCTGCAGATGGGATGGTAGTGGGAGAGGAGACCTGTGCATCACTCAGCAGCTGAGAAGTCATTAGCAGCACTTAGTTCTGGTTTCTGAAATACTCTGCACTTTTTTTTCATCCGTTCTTGCATGAGAGCACCTTGCTTCTCACACACCACACAGTTTGTCCTTGCAGAGCCCTGGAAAGTGGGGAACATGTTTTCCCATTTCACAGGAGGAAAGTGAAAGCAGATGGATTTTGAAGCTTCTCAGGGGGAAAAAAAAGTAAAAATCAAGATTTCTTGGATCTCAGGCAGTGCCATGAAACCGTCCTCCCTTTTCCGTGGCAGCCAGTCTGTTAATGGTTTGGTGAATGGACTGATGGCAGCAGTAAAGCAGGAGATAAATTGAAGAGATATCACATAGAGATTAAAAATTCACAAGGAGATTAAAAAAACACCCAAACCCTACTAGTTAAACCCCAGTTCTGAGCACTCTTAACAGACTGGTAATCACAGGTTCTTCATGACTCATGCAGTCTCCCAGCTGACTTGCAGTTCACTACCAGTTTGGGTATTTTAGTTGCCATCAGTTCAGGGAGTTGATCTGATTTCCAGTAGAGAGTTGATTTTTGAAAACTGTAGATGGATGCTGCAAACCTAGGCTTCGCTCTAGTACCAGGAGAATTTCTCTTCCAAGCAACGACTCTTCCTGCTACTGCTGTTTTCTTACGGTGATTTCCAGAAGACTTGGAGGGGAGTAAAAACAAAAAGGTCCAGCTTGTTTTTTCCCTCACTGAACTTGACTTGAGCAACCTGGAGTTGAGAAGGATTATGGTAGGAGGCTTGGAGATCCCTTCTCCCCTCTTGATTTTTGTGTAGGCGGCTGAAGAATGTGAGCTGGGTTCTGGTCTTTGAAAATGTTTTTATCTGGTGTCACCATGTGTCAGCAAGAGCTTGCACTGTCCCTTGTTCTTTACTTGGTTTGCCATGCAGGGTGTTTGCTTTTTCCTTGCTGATTTTCACACTTGCCAGAAATAATAACTTTTGTCATTGTTTCAAAGTGTTCACAAAACTTACTGGTGCGTCCTTGCTTTGTTTAGCTTCCCTGTAGTTTTTATGAGCTTATGGCTAGTGTAACTGCATCTTCGATTGCATTTTTAATTTTTTCTGAAAGTCCTGATTTGCATGCAGGCTAAATCAGTTGTCTTTTTATTTTTAAATTGTTACTGGTTTCAGTTTTCTTTGTTGTCAGTTTTTAATGTGTGGTTAATGTATGTTTGACTCAGTTGGCAGGGAATGATTGTCTTGCTTTTGCTTCTGGTAGAATGGGAGTCTTTGTAGTTTAATTCTGAACTTCTAGGAAGATGATTTGCAAATTCCTAACGTGTTCTCCTAAATATAAACAGTTCTTCAACCTACTGCTGCTGTGTTTTTGAGGCTTGTAATTCTGTATGATTACAGTTTATTACATTTTCCCACAAATTAGTGGACAAGGTGTTGGTCAGTTTACTTGACTAGAGGTAAAAAAGAAAAAAAGGTTCTTGGTGCTGGTTTGTTTTCTTTTCTGGGTTTTTTGGTCATGATGTGTGTGCGTTCCTGCTGTTGGATATGTGGATATAACTCTTAAGCGTTCTTGAGCAGCTAATTGAGAGTTGGTAATTGCTTTGCTCACGTACCTAATGGACATTGGAAAGAAAGTTCTCAAATGAACCTCCAAAGTCCAAGGTGGATCAGCGTTTAACTCTGCTCCTGCTACCACCTCTCGAGGGCAGTTCTGCTGCTCTGTAGTAGCGCTGGTATCTGTCCCCATGCCACCCTCTCCATCACATTGGCAGAAGTTTGGATCAGGGAACTTGAAGTGGATTTAAAATAACCCTGCAAAGGAAAAAGAAGCTCCAACCAAAACCAACCAACCAAAGAAAAATCTCAAATCAGTCTCTTGATTTGTTTTTCTTTATGACCTGCTCACTCCCCCTGAACAATTGTGCCAGCCTGGCTGATCCAGGTGCTTCAGGCAGAGAAGGAGAAAGCTGCTTTCAGCTGGTACTGCCTGCAAGAAAAGCTGTCAGTGCAACTCTAGTGTGAATGTGTGGCTTCAGGAGCTGGAGTGAGCTTATCTCTTGGTGCTCTGCTGCTGGCAGAAGGGTGTTTCTGTTGCCTTCAGTTGGTTCATCATCAAACCAAGGTGGCAGGGAGGACTGATGGCTGGGAGAAGTGGCTGAGGGACACTTGCTTTGAATGACGGGTGTTTTCCTTGCTATTTCTGAGGTTAAAAGCAAATGCAGGAAAAAAATACGTTGGTCCTTTGTCACGGTAATGAAAAAAACCAAAAGATATTTAAACACACACACACCAGCCCCGTTTTCCCCCTTGCAGGTTTAGGAGGATCTAAGATTAGCTCTGATGTGTCCATTTTGAGGAAAGTTTGCAAGCATGCCTAAGCACATTATTCTTTATCCTCTGTTAAGCTTTGGGAGCGGACAGGGTGCTAATATGTGTACCTTGCCTCATGGGCATTGGCAGTACTGCCAGTCAGTATCAAAACTGAAGATCCCGATGCATTTACATACCCTGCTTGCCTGCAGAAATTGGGCAGCTGTGGTCTTTTGTACGGTATAAGACTGTAGGTGTCTGTGCAGGAAGGGAAACTGTTGTTTTGAAAGGGAGAGTAGGCTGCGGTCCTCCTTTCCAAAACCAGGTGAGTTTCTGAGATCAGAAGGTCTAAAGGAACAGATTCAATTTGGGATCCTGTTTCTGTAGAACTGGGCATATGTTTTTCCTGCAAGGCAGCTGATTAAATATTTGCTCGCTCTTCATACGTTGACTTTTTGCTCTGCTTCTGGCACAGCTTTGTTTTTATCTGGGCTGCAGGGAAATAGTGACGGATCTGCCTGACCTCTTTGTTGCAGGGGACCAGGTCATGTGATGCAACAATTCTTAATCACCCTTCAATCAAGAAATTCTTGGAATCACCCTCCAGATCGTCGTCTCCAGCTAACCAGGGCTCAGACACTCCATCTGCCAACCACTCCGAGAGTGACTCGCTCTCTCAGCACAATGACTTTCTCCTGGACAAGGACAGTGGCAACTTGGACGCAGACGAGCGGCTGACAAACAGCCTGGACCAGAGACAGAGCAGAAATACTGGCCGGGTAAAGTAAAACTCGAGTGATGGTCAAGTTGTTGGAGGTGTGTGCTCTGTCTGGACTCAGTGCTGGCACCAGGAGCTCTTCATGTTTTCACCTACCTTGCTGAAGATCTGTTTCTTACCCTCTCCAACTGCTTGCTCCCACTCTCTCAGCCTGGCTTTGCTGTAAGGCTAACTGAAGTATATGTAACTTGGGTAACTCCTCTTAACTCAGTCTTGCCCAACAGAGAGGTCAGTCAGGCAGCAGTGATAGCGTTCGTGTTAGCCCAGTTATCTTCCACGGCCTTGGTTGATAGCCTCTGGGGAAGAAGGTGTTTCACAGCTTGAGCAAAGGCTTTTGCTCTGCAGATGGAAGTCAGGTCAGGAAGGGTAGAGCCTGGAGAGAAGAGCAAGATAAGTCGTTCCCAGCAGTGTTTATAAGAAGCAGTGCTGCTGCCTGGCCCTGGGTCCCCATGGGGACTGCATTGCTTAGAGTGGTTGAACCACTGGAGTTTGTGGTTTGGCCTCCTCAGCAGCCTGTGGAGAAAACATGGTGATGTGGTGGATTGGCTCACCCTGGGAGCGTGAGCTGGTAGAGCCTGGGTGCGTAGTTTGCGTTGTTTTTGTCTTGGCTAATATCACTGTTTGCTTAAGTGAACCAGACTGACCGAGGTTAAAAATACCTTCTTTCATTGTTCCCCCATGCTTTTTTCTGAGTTATTCTTGACCCGAGTCCATTCCCTTTATGGCTCGCTGTGCAGCTACAGAAATGCTTCACCTGTCGGCTGCAGTTAGTGCCACCGGGGAGGCTCTCTCACTGGCTGCAGGTGAAATGCAGCTTGCTAGGTGAGATGAAACTCTTTCCTTTCAGTTCCTTTAAGCCGTTGGGCCTGCCAGAGGAGTACAGCCTCAAACCCAAACCAGAGATGGATATATCTCATCGCATAGTTGTTCTGCAGCTGAACAAGTTGCGATAATATGTGGCAGAAAAAGCAATGATTCTGCCTCCATTGAGCAGTGTGAGACCCTTGATAACAGGGCTGCAGTTTGCTGAAACTGTGTAGGATCCGTAGCAGAAGGCAGGTAAACACTATATAATGTGGACTCACTTATATCGTAACCCACCAGACCGATATAACTTGTTTCTGCACTGGTGGCGCTGATGGAGCAGTTGTATTGCTTGAGTGTAGCGTGTTGGTACATCTTTGACCAACATGGCCCGTGGCCCAGAGGTGGCTGAGGGAATGACGAGGAGCAGGAGCCATCCCAGCCTTCTGTGGCTCCTTGCTGCAGTTTGAGGCATCACTGACTTAACAGAAGAGGTGTAGCTGTTCCTAGTGAATCCACGGCTCCTCACGCTGGCCCTCGTCTGACGAGTGCTCAGTGGAGTACCCTCCAGGGAGCTGCGGCACAAACGCTGTTGTTCGTGAAAGGATGTCAGTCTCTTATTCTCTGAACAGCCTCCTTACCCAGCAGAGTCGTAGAAAAGCCTCTCAGTCCCATGTAAACGACAGTGCAGCCTAAGTTGGCACTGTGGGTGATCATGTCGTCGTAAGCCCAGCCTCAGTTCTTCACCGTGAAGCAATGCAGGAGTCCCTCAAAGCAGCAGAAACTGGGAATGAGAAAGATTTAGATTTTCAGAAGCCACTCATAGGAAATTTAGCTTTATTTCTGGTTAGCGACCAGCATGATGCCACTCTAGCAGTGCTTGATGTTTTTTAGATAGTGCAGTGGCAGTGCTTTTGAAACCCAAGCTGAAATCATGGCTCAGATCCATGGTATGTTGCATAATGTATGCTCAGTTAAGCCATGCAGTGTACACTTGGCTAGGTAGTATATCATTGCTGTGTGCCTGAGTTGCTTAAACGTGCCTAGATAGCAATTTGAGTATTTTTAGGGATGATTCATTGTTGGCGTCTCATTTAACTATGCGGGTTTACTTTTTTTAACAACAAAATGATGTTTTAAGAGGAATGTTTGGTTTTTTGTTTGCCTTTTTTTTTTCTTCCCCTACCCTCAGGACAGTTCGGGTGTTTCAAACTCTCAAAAACCAGGACAACGAAATGCCGGACTGTCAAATGATGAAACTTCACGGCTTTATGTGAAGAAAACGATTGTGGTTGGCAACGTCTCCAAGTTAGTATCCACAGTCTGATGGATGGGCCTTTTTTTCAGGATCACATGGAATAGGAGGTTAAAAATAGGAGGTTAAAATTAGGAGACAAATAAAATTGCTAGGCTGTCACAATGTGAGATGTTGCCCTTGAATAACCAGTGTACCCAAGGCTGCCCTCCTCGAGTGTCTGCATGAGTTTTTCTGTGGGAGGAACAGGCGTTTTAGTAGTTGGGGCTGTTTGGGGTTTTTTGTGTGTGTATATATATATTTGGAGGTTTTAAGATCTGTTTCTTTCAAGGGGAGTCTTTCAGCCTTTTCTGACCAATTAGAAATCCCAAGTTTTTCCATGAAAATTTGGAAAAGCCACTTGTCCTAATGGCTAATTCAGTGGGTTCACAGGGACAATGTGTTGGGTTTTTTTTAAACAAAAAAAAACCAAAACAAACCACCATAATGAGGAAAATTGTGAAAGTCCAGCATAGTCTGAAGAAAGTAATTTGTACAGTTTTGGGGGTTTTTCTGTTTGGTTTGATTTTTTTTTTTTTTTAAAATTAAGACAAGTAAATATACATAACTTTTGAACTTTGAGGAAATTAGTGAAGAAAGGCATTTATTTTATGGAGAAGCCCAGGTTTTAACTCTCTACCCTTACACTACTCAAGTTAGTCTTTTCCTCTGGCGCAGAAAGTAGCAAACACTTGCTGATGAGACTTAGGGCGTTAGAAACGCGTCTTGAAAATCTACCTAAGCCTGGACCTGGAACCAAGTGTTGACTATGAAGCTTCTTAAAAATTTATAAGAATAGTTATCTTTTGTTGCTGATGATCTGGAGTGATTTGACTTCTTAATATCTCAGAAAAGAGGGGGAAGGGGATTTGTCAATAGTAGAATGTTAAAATTAAGCCTAATTAAGAAGTAAATGTTTAAATGGACAGATTTCATATAGCAGTTGTACACTAAAGTTGAGGAAACGTCTTAGAAGCATAGAGTAGATTATGGGATCTGTATCTGTTTCTGGAGTTCTTCTGAAGAGCTGGATGAACTGTCAGAGTAAGGAATAATGAGCAGAACCATACAGGGCACGAGATGACATTGGCATTTTACCATCTCTAATTTTTTTACCTAATCTTTCCTGAGATACTTTTTGTGCTATTTATCTATTTGGGATTTTTATCTTGTGTTTGTTTTTAATTTCTTTGCCAGATACATTCCCCCTGACAAGAGAGAAGAAAACGATCAGTCAACCCATAAATGGATGGTGTATGTCCGAGGCTCTCGGAGAGAACCCAGCATAAATCACTTTGTCAAGAAAGTTTGGTTCTTCCTCCATCCCAGTTACAAACCTAATGACCTGGTAGAAGTGAGGTAATAAGGAATTATTCCAGTCATTATTCCAGTCTTTATGTTTGCCAGGCTTACTATGCCAAGTTTCTTAGAAAGTTAGCAGCTTTTCTTGGTTTTGTATTCCATGTCTGTCTGTAACCTCTGGCTTGGCTTGACTTACTCCAAAATAACAGTAAAAATAAATTAGTTCTTATGTGGCAAATGTGCCCAATGGATTTTTTTTTAATTTTCCTACTGGAAAAAAAACATTTAATTTTTGCATTTCATGTTATTCATGTGAGTTTGTACATCTCTTGTATGCCTTACGCTGTCTGCTGTGCAGGTTAGACTTCCATTGTTAAAAGAGGTGTTGTCTACCTCCCACCCTGTCCGGTGTGGAAAAGAAAGAGGAGTCTCAGAAAGCTCTTTTGCCCTTAGCTTTAGTGATACATGTGCATTTGGGCAAGAAGTTTTATCCATTTCCCAAATACTGTGGTGAGATCAGTGGCGTTGGCTGCACGCTTGAAGGAATTTCCCATCAGTGTAATGGTGCTACAGAAGCAGGGCAGCTTCTCTGTCCTCTCCCAAACCCCCCAAAGCTGTGACTCTGAGATCAGCGGGGTCGATTCTCTGTTGGCTGCTGCAGGGAAATGCCCTGTCAGTCTTCCATTCTCGCTCCTTTGGACAAGGCAGCGGGAAGATGCCTTCAAACTACTTTGCATCTTCCCGAAGAAATTATTCTCCATGGGCCGTTCAGCTGCCTGCCTGGATGAAGGTGGGGAGACTGCCTAGGTACAGAATGGCAACTTAATTCTCACAAAATTAAACTGAATGAAAGGCAACTCCAGAAAGGTATATTTGAGATAAAGGTGTTGGTGAGGCTCACTGATGTTTCTGAGAAGGCAACCCTGAGCAGGATGAAAGCAAACTCCTTTGTATTTCTTGTATAACATACTAAATTACACTTGACTGCTGTATTTTTGTGCCTTTCTCAGTTTCCAGTATCTGATGTCAATGCTGTTTGTCTTCTGTTTTAATCCCGGCTAGTTAATTGATTTCTTCTTGTTGCACAGTCCTGGTCATTGTAGTGAACACTAATGTTCTGGACTAAAAATAGCCTTTAAGCCTCTTGTGTTTTGTTTCGTTGCAAAACTACATTTGGGATTTACAATAAGCTGAGATACAAACAAAGTAATGGTAAATGTTAGAGATAAATGTGTTATATGAAGCGTGTGTGTTCTTGCTACTAGTTAGGGAATAGCAGAAAGTGATTGCAAAATGCTGCATTGAAAATTCACCTTGCAGCTGTGTCCTAGGAGTTGACTTGGGGTTTTTTGAAACAAGTATTTTTCATTTGGCATTACACAGCCTTCCCCCCCACCCCCAAAGATGCACATTTCCTGTCTTCTTTTATTCAACAGTGTTTTACATTTTCTTCCCTGTCCCCTTGTGCAAAATAAAACTGTGGTTTCAGCTGTCCAAAGCCATAAAATTATCATTTCTGTGATTGCATTCTCTCTGTGGTGAAGAGGAGGCCTGAAGATAGCTTTAGTTGTCAGTTAGAAAAGCAGCCTTTGGCTTTCTGAAAAAGAGGTAGGTGAAAGCTATACCACTTCTGCATCCAAAATGTGAATCACCGTTTGTTTCCAGAGAACCTCCGTTTCACCTCACCAGGAGAGGCTGGGGAGAATTCCCTGTGAGAGTCCAGATACACTTCAAGGATAGCCAGAACAAGAGGATTGACATCATACACAATTTGAAGGTATTTGAACAAAATATTTGAGAGAAAGGCAATTAAATAAGCTCTCCTGCATAATCTAGAGAAGAGGGTCTGCTTGTGTATGTGCTTCTGCCCCTCTCTGTTGTGTGTATGTCCTGCTGGTTATTTGCACACGAATAGTTGAGCTGGAGAATCAGAACAGATCAAGGAATGCCTCTTACCTTGGCTATATTGAAGGCGATGCTGTAGCCAAGGAACCCAGCCTTGCAGAAGCTGGAACTGATACTGCTCAGAGCAGCAAAGCATTTACCTGTTTTTTCCCCGCAGTTTGAGATTTTCATCATGCTCTCACTGGCTCTAATTTGACAGGGTGTTGCAGGGCTATCTTTCTGTTGGTAAAGTCATTGCTGTATCTGTTCTGTTCCTTCAGCACTTGCGCGTTTTAGCTAGGGGTTATCTCTGTTGGTAGAGTGGACAGGGAGGAGCTGAGATTCCCCATTTGTTCCTTGTTCCTTTTGAAAAGAGCTTTCTTTTTCAACTCATCCACCTGTCCTGTCACACTCAATAGGATTTATAGTATGCAGCAGTCCTGCAAAACTAGGCCATTGCCCTTGTTTTCCTTTTAATTAGTAGTCCCTAGTGTTAGTGGAATTAAGTCCTGAGCTGGTTTAGTTTCCTGTTTCTTTGAGCAACATGATTAGTTTTATTTAAACCCTGCCTGCATTAATGAATTTCCTGCTAATGTAGATACCTCATTGCAACCCCAAATACAGACAGTAGAGAAGGTTGGAAATGTTCCCCTGGAACTTAGGGACACTTAATGCAGATGATAAGTAAAATATATTTGGAGAGATAGAAGTTGAGGAGAAATTGGTAACAGTTTGATGGACGTTGTGCAGAAAAGGAAGCCCAGCCTACAGAAGGAAACTGATCCAGTCTGTGGCACACAAGAACTCAAATCAGCAAATCTTTGCTGTTTGTATAGTGAGCCTGTGGCAGCTGTGAGGCGATGTGAGTGAGCCGAGCTCTCCTCCATGGCTGGCAGCCCATCTGCCACCGAGCTCCGGGGCACCAGGATCCTGGCAAACCCAGCTCTATACGTATGTTAATAGATGCCTCTGGGATTTTCTGCCTCTTCATCAGCTGATAATTCAGTGTAAACAGTTATTTCATGAAAAGTTTAGTGCAAACATAGCCTTTGTGCTGGTTAGTTTAAATCTCTTTGATTTCCCCCCCCCCCCCTTATTGTTTCCTTATATTGACTTCAGGAATAAAAAAGAATGCTCCTCAAAGGCTCCTCTTAGGTTGAAATAATAATTGCCCCATCCCTGGAAACATTCAAGGTCAGGTTGCATGGGGCTTTGAGCAACCTGATGTAGTTGAAGATGTCCCTGCTCTAGGGACATGTATGTTGGCCTAGATGACCTTTAAAGGTCTGTTCCAACCCAAACCATTCTATGATTGTATCCCCCCAACAATCTCATTTCATTCAGCTTTTTTTCTCCTTTCTACTTTAGGGCAGGCTTTGGGTTGTGGTTGGTTTTTTTGCAGGTGAGAGGGTACTAAACAGAGCACACAGATTTCGAGTAGCCTCGAAATATTTGATATGCTGCTGCTCAACTTAGATAAATTCAACCCCTTTCAAACAAATTGTATTGTAAATTCTAGCTAATATATGGCTTTGCCCTGGTTAATACAAATGTATTGTTTTACCTAGTTGGACAGGACCTACACAGGCTTGCAGACACTTGGCGCAGAAACGGTGAGTCAGTGGGTCATGGGATGGATGTTGTACTTTGATTCCATTGAGGATATTTAAAAAGAAAAAGATACACGGGACGTGGTACAGACCCATTTGATTTCTCAATTTCTGGAATGTAGATTTTGCTCTCTTGTTAAATTATTATGACACCTTGTCACTATTCATGACAACAGTCATTTTTTCTCCTTTCCAGTTCAGGGGAGACTGTTTCCAGCTCTTCTTTCATAAAGAACTCAACTTGTGCTACAGTTTTAATTTTTGTTTCTTTGTGGAGCTTCTGGTACCAATGTCTTGATTTGCATTCTGATGTGCTGGAGATCTCATACATTAAGTTAAAGGGATCACCCAACTATCCTGCTGGAATTTTGCAGTATATTAAGTACTTCTAGGTTTCTGTGTCTGTCAAGATTCAGTATCTTCATGGAAAATGAACTCTTAAAACTTAAAATAAAATAAATGAATTAATAACTCATAGTTTGCTCTGTCTGTAAAGGTTTTTTTGGTATTATTTTCCCCTTGCTGTACTGTAGTGAATGGAAATTTTTATGGTGAAATTGCATTACTTCAGCTTTTCAGTCTGTGGAGAAAACATTAGTGTGAGATGTCTACTACTGTGATTAAAGAACACTTTTGAAGAGCAGCTAATGTGTGTTTCTCAAAGCCTTATCAAAAAAGGCAAGCTGCAGTTTTTTGCCTGTCCCTAAGGGGGTATGCAGTCCTTTCCTTAGTGTGATGCTTGGAGCTGGGCTCTGTATTCCATACAGTGTTCACTATTCGGATTTCCCCACGGACCGAGAAATGTGCTATTTTACCGTGGTGGTTAAATGTTGCAAGATTTTTATCTTAGCTCAGGTGCTGTTGGACCTGTGGGAAGTCTCCCCGAAACAAACGGAAGTTTTTTGCAGAGGTGGGGGGAGGAGAGGGAGACGTTTCTAGACATCAAAATAAAAAGAAAAGGCATAGTTGTTTTCACTTATTATATCTTTACCTAGCTACCAAATACTAATGTCATCCTTTCTCCTATTTCTGGAAGGTAGTGGATGTGGAGCTACATAGGCATTCCCTTGGTGAGGAGTATCTCTTCTCCCAGTCTTCGGAGTCTGACCTTTCTGACGTTCCTACATCTTTACCGCTGCCGTTGAGTATCCCAGCACCAGTCAAAGCTTCTTCGCCAATTAAACAGTTGCGGGACTCCAGCCCAGATGCTTCTGCGGACAAAGGTAAAGCGAATGGATATCGGTGAAATTCAAGTTCTTGGAACTTCAGCTCTTCTGGACACCTCCTCTTAATTGCTCTTTTGGCTTAAAGGTTGCCAGTGCTTCCTGTTCCTTCATCACCCCAGATGATTATTTCCTCAATGTACTCTGAAATGCAATTCAGAAATTGTTTTGGTTTGGGGGGGTTTTGTTGTTTGTTGGTTGGTTTTTGGTTTGGGTTTTTTTGGGTTTTTTTTCCAAATCTGGAGTTTGTGAGTGGGCTCTGTTTTGCTAAATGTAGTGAATATGGAGCCCTATGCAGCGGATGTAGTTGGAAAAGAGGTTGTTGAATAGCAGTTGTAGTTTTGTTCCTGGCAGACAGTTTTCAGAGGGTTTTTTAGGTTTCTAAATGTTTTGGTAACTGTGTGTAGATTTAAAGAATTGGTCTAGTGGTGTGTTCAGTTATAGACATTGGTGCCTGACATGAGTTAGCTGTGGGAGAAAAAAAAAAAGACTACATAACTGTCGTGTTGAAAATAGAAAGCGACAAAGACGTAGTGCACGTTTGTCCAAGGGATGGCATCTGTGCACGTCATGGTCTCGTTCTGACCTTCCCCTGCAAGATCAGGAAACGCAGCACCCATTGTAGTGGGCCAGCAGTTGATGCCTTAGGATCATTTGAGTTGCCTGAAGCAAGCTAGCACTGGCCAGTTGGGCACACTGTTCTGATTTTTAGTTTGTGTGAAGTTGGAAAAATGGTGCCTCTGTTAGCATTTAGCTTTATTTTCTGAAATACATGGTGTCAAGGCTTGCATGATAGACTGTGGTTCACTGGGCTGAGAAACAAGGGTGTCTTTTATGGTGTACACATTTTAGTGTGAGAAACTTGCTGGAAACAGCAACTTTATATTTCAAAAGATGGTCACATGCAACATGGTCTGATGCCTTTCTTGATTTATCCTGACACTCCTGTGCTCAAGGAATGGCTTTCAGCTGGTGTCTTGCATGGTGCGCTTTCTGGTAGGTGCCGTAATGCCACTGGCAGTGTTCTGGCTCAGCGAGAAGAATGTCCACTGTTTGTGCCGTGTGTTCTTGTGGCCAAAAAAGGAGAAACACAACTGAATTTTAAATGCTTTTTGTTCAAACAGGAGGATATGCAGCACCTTTAGGTGAGCAGTGCTGCAGAAAACAGGGAGGGATTAAACCTGTGTCTTTCTTACACAGTGGCTTCTCTCATCAGCTCCAGGTTAATTGATCTCCTTCTGCGTTAGGTAAGGTGGATTCCTTAGCCCAGGTCAAAAGGCAGTAGGTGGTCTCTTTGTGCTCTTACTCCAAAAAATGCACTGCGAGATTCTCTGCAAAGGAGAGTCAGCCTTAGTCCTGTGGACCCCTAACTGAGGACACTTGAAACTACCAGCAGGTTTTGGTCAATGGAAGGGTCGTTCCAAGAAAATGTGTTAGAAGTGGCTGATCGCCTGCCACAGCTGAACAGGCTGTACACAGTAGCGTTTTATTCTTCTGTTCAGGGACAAATCCAACAGGCTTGCACAGGAGGAACCCCCTACCCCACTTTCTCCCCGTTCAGCGCTGCCCATCACTTGCTTTTCCTTCCTTCCTTCGAGGGCGTGTTTGTCATACCTGAGTTTTGTTTGTGTAGAGAAGCACAGTAAGGAATTAGATGTCTCAGCCTAAGAACTATTTCTCTTCTTTTCCCTGTTTTAATCAGGATTCCCTGGGAATGCTGAAACCGAAAGACATGCCACGTTTTATTCCCTGCCATCTTCGATAGAACGGACTCCCACCAAGTTAGCCACACAGAAAGTTGCCTTTGGCTCTCATGGAAATTCAGCTTTTCAACCCATTGCAGCTAGCTGTAAAATAGTGCCTCAAGGTCAGAGTCCAAGCCCTGCAGAGTCGCCAGGAAAATCCTTCCAGCCTATCACCATGAGTTGCAAGATTGTATCAGGTGAATGTTAGTTTACCTATCCGAGTGCTTCACCCTGGAAAACAAGAGAGTGAACCAGTTGGACTTGTTTTGTGTCCTTCCCCTGATTTCCTACCAATGTTTGAACGTCAGTCAGTAGGAAGCTCTAGAATAAGGAGCTAAACGCACTTCTTAATGTTCAAGGGAAAAAAATACAAGTGTGAAATGCTTCACATCAGATCAAAAGCAGGATGAGATCTGTTTTCTCCCTGTTCACCAATGCTTTTAAGTATGAAAATGATAGTCTTTAATGGACTGCTATCCCCAGAAAAGCCCAGGCAAGGACACATCTTCCATGTGGGATATTTGTATGTGGGAAGAAGCCATTCTTCTCCCTCCCGCTTTCAGACAACTGGGATGGATTAAGAAGAAATTTTTTTCCTGATTATTGGGCAAATAATTAGGTTCAACCCTGTACACTCAAGTGATCCCTCTTGTACTTGTGATATCTCCTCAAATGGAACAGCTTTGATCTTCCTCTTCCAAAAGTCTACCCTCTGTTGGATTTAAATTGTCAGCTGACTGCAGTGAGCCATGTGATACTCTTTTGATAGCTTCTGAACCAAACATGGTCAAGGTGCTGTTTACTCGTTTCACTTATAGTCCCTTCCCTGCCTGGGCGTGATGCCATCCACTGGATGATGTTTTACATCAGAAAGTTTTAATGTGCAGCTCACCATGGCACATGTTGTGAAGCTGAAAGATGACCTGGTACATCCCTTCATTTTCTGGTGTTAAGGGTAGACAGCATGAAGCACCAGCTATTTCTCTGTGATTTCTGGTGATCTGCTCCCAAATAGTTTTACTCAAGTGTGTCTGGTTTGTTGTTGGGTTTTTTATGACATTTTGATATTTTTCCTTGACATCTTAAAACTGTACTCAGGCTGATTTGAACCTATGCCAAGTGCTTTCTTCTTTCTTAATAAGCTCTCCTCTTGATCTTCTTTTCCCAAGGCTTCCCAGAAAGCAAAAATTACAGGGGCCATCCTATCTTTCTTAAAATCCTTGGACTATTCTCTGTTGATCTTTGCTATTTAAATGTTTCACTCTTAAATATTTTTCCAAGGCTCTGCTGTCTGCTGAGAAGTGTCACTCCTTTCAGATTTCAAAAGCAGTTTATAAGACATGGGGATTTTATTTCATCAGCATTTATGTTCCATTTTAATTATCAATCACTGCCAAGAAAGCAGATTAACAGGCAGTTGAAGCTTAGTGTGCTTGCTGCCATCTCTTTCTCTGATCACTTCTTTGCCTGTCCTTTTCTCTGCATTTCTTGTTTACGCCCTCATGCAGCTTTTTTCTTCTCTAGTTTTTCTCTCCTGGTCTTCTTTCCCAGAAGTTGCACATTTTAGAGTTTGCTTTCAAGGGCTTCTGCTGTAGTGAGAGCAGTGAAGAGACAAGAGCGTCCGTGCCCGCCTGTATCACACAGCTTTTTTACGGGAACTGCTCGGTTCCTGCCTCTGGGTGCCTGTACTGTGGGCTCCACAAGGGAAAGAGAGCACCTGTCAAGGAGCTCAGCTCTCTTTCTTCATCTCCTTGGGTGGACTGGTCTTGGCAGTGAGAACGATTTAGGTAACGTCCCTCAGGATTCAGGGATGGACTAGATGGCTTCTCAAGGTCTGTTTGAACCCTGCTTGTCCTGATAGGCACAGAGAATGCCCAGGGTAGGTATGAGCCAAGGTACTTAACATGCCTTTTCCTTTCCTTCCGTCTCCTCTTTCCTTCTCCAAGTTCTGTGATGTCGCTCAGGCTGGGAATTGCATCCTCAAAAAATGTTTCTTTTCTGAGCTATTTAAATAAGTACTGCTATTGCTGTGTTTTATGTTCTCACAACATTTACAAGATAGAAGCATTGGACTTTTTTTCTTAAGGTTCTCCAATATCGACCCCTAGTCCATCTCCGCTACCTCGTACCCCAACCTCCACTCCGGTGCACATGAAGCAAGGCTCTGCTAGTTCAGTCATTAATAATCCGTATATTATTGTGGACAAGCCTGGACAGATGGTTGGAGCAGCAGCCACAAGCACAGGTGTGTAGTGTGATCACAGAAGGCAGTGGCTTAGTTTTACCCATTCAAATTTTTTCTCCCTTTTACAAAGGTTAGTATAATAACAACATTTCAGCTTGCAAAGATGGAAAAGTACTCAGCAAAGAAAGAGGGGGGTATTTTTGGTTTGCACAACTGGCTGGTGTAACATGGTTAACAGTATCTAAGACTTTAACGAAACCACCTTTAGAAAACAGCATATAGCGTAAGGCCAAATTGAATTCACAGATACCTCTTCAAAGAGAGCCTGCAGGCAAAAAGGGAAGAGGAGAAAGCAGTGTAGACTGTGGTGCAGAGATTTAAACAGAAGCGGTGCACAGGTGGTTGGGTAAGGACTGTATTGCAGATAAAGGCAAAAGGCATGGAGAGCTTGCGATGACTTGCAGATCAGTCTTTAGTTCCAGTGTATGGTGCTCTAGATGTGTTGAAGTGATTGAGTAGACCCAGGTTACCAGGATAACAGCCATGTTAGCTTCTGTTATGGCTCTCAACTTCTAGCTGGTCTGATTTCAGCTGGTTTGGATTCCTCTAACTGGATTCCCTCCGTGGTTCAGTGGTGACGTAAGCCTAGGGTCAGGGGGAGGACTGAACTGCAGGAGGTGGGTGATGGGTACGGGAGTCAATTGGTAATCTTTGCGTCAGGGCTGGAGGGGAGGTCACTCAGAAGTAATTTATTTGTTGTGGTTTGTGGCCAGGAACTGCTGTCTATTTAAAAATACATTTGTTTGTGTATGTGTGTGCGCTTGCCAGCCTCTTAGAAGGATGCTTAGAGCCATGTGGTGAACTACAGCATCCATGTAACACACAAACCATTCACTGGGCATGGTTGGAAAGTGCAATTTTATCTGATGGAACACAGCTGTCATGTTCATTTTAACTTCATCACAGAGGGAATTGGTAGGAGGAGCATAGTCATAGCTGTGTGTTTTGGGGCTTTCTTGGTAACACTGAAGCTGTTTCACCAGTGGAGGGTGTGTGGGTTTTGGTTGGGGATTTTCTGCCTTTTTTCTCTTCTGTTTCTCCTTTACCTCCAGCCTGACTGTCTACTGTGCATCTGTGGTTTGTCATGGTTTAGGTAGCTTTTGTGTTCTCCTAGTAGAGATCTGTACATGAAGGACAGGATCTGTAGATGCACCAGGTGGTTTGGACATACAAGTCTTAATGCCGCTAAAGGTGCGGCGTCCCACCACATTAGTGGGATGTAAGTACAGACTGGCCTGGAAGAAGCTGCCTCTCCCTCCTCTGCGCTCCTGCCGCTTCCCCTGTGTCCTGCACGAGTCAGATCAGATCAGTGAGAGGGCAGAAGATTAATACCATCCCTTCCCCAAATTGAGTTTTGTCAGATAGCCTCATCACCAGACACCCCCGTATGAGAGAGTAAGAGAGAACGTGGAACTGGCTTTTTGACAACAGCAGCCTGGCTGGATTGAGCGTAATGTGATATTACAGACAAAGTCACAGATCATATTTGAAAAGAGGGGCGAGATCTGAAACTTTGTGCTCTGTGAAAACCAGCCTTCCCAAACCCCATTATTGTGAGAAATGGCTGCTCATTTACTTTTAATGTAAGTGCAGATTGTAGTACAACTGTATGAGAGACTATTACTGTGTTTTCATGTGTGTAATCCAGGGCTTTGGCATCTCTTAAACAGATGAAACTAACAAACCAAACCAACAGCAGGTACAAAACTGCTGCTGAGCAACTGTGGTTTACGTGTTCTGATAGTGCAGGGTAAGTTTACCACTGAACCCCCATCCATCTCGGGGTCAGGAGAGTGCTGTGGCACATGTGTGTGTACGATGATTTTGCAAGAGCAGACTTCCACAGACAGAGAAGCCTATGTCTTTGTTCCCTATTTTTGTTTCTTCCTTTTCCCTACCTCACTGTCCCTTCCTCATGTTACTCCTCCCTTTTGTCTCCCTCCTTTTCCCTCCCACTCCAGGCTTCTCCAAGCCTTCCCCCGTGACAGTGTCCGAGGCTAGCGTAGGTACAGAGGGTTTCTGGGCAGTGGAGAGCATTACATCTGCAGCAGCAAGTTCTGACTGGTGGCTCATTTACTGTCATAATTTCACATAGTCACACCTGTAGCTGATATCCTCGGTGTCCCAGGAAGGTGCCCGACCATTTGCTTGCAGCAAACAGAGCTCTGAGTGGAGAGTACCTTCTCTGGGGGTGGATTCTGCAGGTGGAAATTCACTAGTGGATTTGTTTTGTGCTCATGCTTACTCCCACTGATGTACTCATGGAGAATATAGAGTTGAAATGAAATGCCGTGTTTCTTGTTAGAAGAGGTTTCATGCGTTCAGCGGCATTGCTCCCAGTCCCTCACTTGACATTTGCTTTATTTCCTGATACGCAGGGAGCCCAACCAGCAAACTGGCCAGTGTTTGTCAGGCCTCTCACGGAACTGGATCTCCTGTATCAAAGACCCATGGGAGCAGTTTTGTCACCTCAGTTGTGAAGGTAATGTTCTCAGGAGATGTGTACTTTCTATTTAAAATTCAGCTTCCTATTAAATAGGGCTTTTTAGCATTACAAATTCTGCATTTCAGGCAAGTTCTTTTGGTTGTCATTTTGTATGAAGGTTGACTGTGTCTAACAGATGCAGCCATATGAGAACACGGTGGTTATACAAGATGATAGTGTCACTTTGTGCAGCTCTAATTAGACTTGCCTACGCCTCTGTTAAAGGCGCTGCTCTTTTGCTTTTCTAGAAGGAAATGCATGGAGGGCATAGCTCTCAAAGTGTCTTATCTTTCAGAAGAGCTCTTCTGTAGCTGACTTTGATCTTTCTCACTTTGTTAGTGACAGTATGTGATTAAACCAGAGGTGCCTACCTCAAAACCTTCACTCTGTTCGTTATTTTTGTACAGCAGCTGCTCCTAGCAGCCTGAAAATAGCTCATTTAGTGGTTTTACAACTGCCTGCACTTAGAAAAATATTTGTGTAAACAGTGGAGTAACCAAATGTGTAAACAAACAGTCATAAAAGAGGGTTCGTGCTTCTGATCTGCAAAGCCCAAAAGGTACGGAGCTGAGCTGTCTCACATAAAATCTCTCCCACATCTTGTGCTAGGAAGGATATTTCTGGCAGGCAAGTGGTGTCAGTGAGGCTCTTGCTGAAAGCAGCTGGTGGGTGTGCTGCTGAAAACAAGAGTGTTTCCCTGTCTCCAAGTTACAAGAATATTAATTCTGGATATGGTGCAGGGAGGAAATTTGCCAGTCAGTCTTCAGAAAGCAAATCACTTTACATTTGGAACTGAAATGCTTCCTATGCCTTTTAGGGAAAAAGTGTTGAAGATTGTTGTCTGAAGCAATTAGCTTGGAGTGGCGTTTTAAGTGTCAGGTGTGCAGCTAGCTATTCCGCTTTTAAGAGCCTGTCTGCTCAGATGGATTTCACTTAACTATGTTGAGAACCATTCATTACTCTTTATTTTTTACTGATCTGGGACAGTTCTTTCTGAAAGGTTTTCAATGACTCAAAGTAAGCACATGTCAGTAGTAACAATTGAAGTCTATATTTTCAGGGCAAAGGTAAAACCTGAAGTTTTTTTTTAAAAAATATAAAAATCATAGCTCTGTAAACAGAAATGTATTTTGGTTGGTGGAAAAGCTGTAATTTTATGGTTTCTTTAAAGATGAGGGAGTGTCTGGTAGTTCAGTATGATGTTACAGATTGTGTTTAACTCATCGCTTTCTATCTCTTCACTATGTGCTAGTTTTCTCTGTAATTTTTTTAATGACTTAAGGCTGTGTTTCCTCTGCCACTTTAGAATGAGTGATATGCAGGCTGCTGTCGAGAGGACTGGTTATGCCTCTAGCCTTGTCTTCATACCTCCCCCTATTTGCTACCAGTCATACCGTGATGTGGTGAACCTGAGCAAACAACCAACCTGGTTGAAAACAAATCTATTTTCAGCCATATGCGTCAGTACAAGGAAGGCAGCAGGAGTATTAGGTTAGAGTCTGATGGCTTGTTTTTTGGTCACTATCTAACCCGAGGATGGGCCAAGTGATTGTGAAATCATAGCTTTGGAGTTCACGTGGATTGTAAAAGAGTACTTATTATTTTACTTAAACAAAACAGAACCATAGCAATCTTTTCAAATGTATTTGACTTCTCTACCAGCCTCAGATCCAGGAGTTCCAGGCACATGATTTTGCAGGTGTGGAAATGGTTTTTTACTCCATTTAGTTAGGTTGCTTCACTGTTTCTGCCAGATGGTGAATTCTGCCTAGAAAAACTGCGTAATCAGGTCTTTCTAGTTACAGGAGAAAAAAAATTCATCTGAGAGAATTTTGCCTGCAGACTGCAATTGAACATTATTTTTTTCCTTCCATAACTTGTTTCGTCTTAGGTTGTATTCTCTTGGAGATTGTGTATAGAGTCACAGAACAGTTGAGGTTGGCAGGGGCCTCTGGAGATGGTCCAGTCTCACTCGCCTGCTCAAAGTAGGGTGAACTAGAGCAAGTTGCTCGGGAATGTGTCCAGTCGGATTTTGAAGGATGGAGAGTCCACAGCCCCTCTGGGTAACCTGTTCCAGTGTTTGTTCACTATTAAATTTAAAAAAATAAATCTTATAGTTAAACAGAATTTCACGTGTTTCAGTTTGTGCCCATTGACTCTTGTCCTTTCATTGGCTACTATTGTGCATTGTCTGGCTTGATCTTCTTTAGACCTTCCCATCAGGTGTTTATACACACTGATAAAATGCACCCTCAAGCTACTTGAATTTTATGGCTCTGAAATGCTTTGAGTAGAAAGCTGGGGGGGAGGAACATGAGTTGATTTCTTTCACTTGTATGTGATATGGTAAGAAAAGGTTCCTGCTGTAACTTTACAAATAAAACTTGCTTTATAGGTTGTATTAAGTATCTTACACTCCCTTTACTCTGTGTTGACTGATTTTGGAAATGGCTTATTTGTACAGGTAATTCAGGACTGCCCAGATGGCCCACGCTACCCTTCATTAGCAGTCACTTGTTTTCTTTCTTATATTGGATGTTTCACCAATTTTTGCGCCATGTCTTTCTGTTTGCAGCAGGAGGATGCTCTGTTTGCCACCATGCCACCCCTTTGTCCCATCGGGAGTCATTCCAAGGTGCAAAGCCCTAAATCAGTCACTGGAGGACTCGGAGCTTTTACGAAGGTATTCCTCTCTGCTTTTGCGCTCGGACAAGGAGCCCAGTAATGCCATTTCATGCTGTTGTATTGAGGCTGATCTTTTTAAAGCTATTTTGTAGTGGAATACAGCAAAAGTAAACTGTAGTAGGTGTATCAAGAGCTGCTTAAAAAATGCTGGTGATTTCTGAACGTCAGATGTTGCCACTTGTGAGTACATTTCCTTAAATGTTACCATATAGAATTTAAAGTTGTTTCTGGCAATATTAGGCGATCCAAGTAAAACGTGGAAGAATGCTTCCTACCAGTTACAGTACGTACCTACAGCAATCTAATGTAAAAAAAAACCCAGCCTTTCTTGAGTCACTGATCTTAGCGATTAGATTCAGGGCCTGTCGCAGAGAAACGTAAAACATAGACGCAAGAGAATGATGTTAGCTATAATAATTTACAGTATCTATAGCTATAATACCAGATGTAATTTTGCAGGATAGAAAGGAACCCTGAGGTTTAGAATGTGTTCTGAGCAGGAAGGTACTTAGAAATTTGAAACCTTAAAGTGTTCTGGCTCCTTTCTGAGATGCAGGGCCTGAAGAAGTCAGGTCTGGCCAAGTCCATGTTAGTATGACTTGTAGTTGGAATATTAATTTCTGAGCACCTCTCAAATCTGGAATACTTTGTAAATACCGACACCTCCCTCACATGCTTTGTGTTGGGAGTAGCCTTCGTCTTGGAGCCGAGTTAGAGAGGCCGCCTGGTGCTGTGTAAGAACCACCTCTGAATTTACTGACTGTTGCCTGACCTTTCTGGCAGACAGACTGTTCCAGAAATGATCCCCAGTGATTTAAGGTGTTTGCTGTTGTTATTTATTTTTTCTTCCTGTTTAAAAGGTGATAATAAAGCAGGAGCCTGGAGAGCTGCCCCAGCAACCCCAACTACCGGTGACAGGGACAAGCACGCAAACCTCTGTGCAGCAATATGTCACTGTAAAAGGGAGCCACATGTTAGCCTTGTCACCGCAGAAGCCGGTCGTGAGCACAGGCGAGGGGACGGTGCAGTCTAAGGTATGAGACACTTGAGCATCTTTGGTGTGGTGTAAGGTGGCTTTCTTGTGGTTTCATTGCAACACCTTGTGCTTCTCTCAAGGGTGTAGGGTCGCTTCTGTCTCAGACACAGGCAGCAGCACCGTGGGTAGCTAGTTTCTCCATGTGCACGGAGAGGCTCGTACCATGCTTACCCACAGTCCCTGAGAAGGGGAGTACACGTTTGCATTTTGTTGTGTGCAGGGAACATCTCCCACCTCTCTCTAAGCCATTGCAACAGCGGGGTGGGGGTGGTATTGAACTGGAGCCTGCCAACCCAGAAGGTTGGCTGCCATCATCGGCTCTTGCTGAAACTTATCCAAGTCTTTCTGTAAGAGGAGGCATATTCTTTCTTTGGACTGCAGGCCTGCAATGAAAAAGAACAGGACAAATAGGAAGTGGGGTGGAGGCTGAGCCAGAACTAGCATGGAGTGGGAGCAGTCCTACTTGAGTGGCAACTCAAGTGTTTTATTGTAGGAGTCTGTGCCAATGCAGTGCTGCTATGACAGGAGTGACGCAGCTTCTGAGAAGGCATGATAACTGTGCAGTGACGAGATGATGGATGTGTCAGAAATTGTCTCCGTTCTTGCCTGTTTCCATTGTGGATAGAGTTAAATCATGTGCCAAGCACAAGAGACTACATAGGGACCTTTCACTTTTGCATAAGTAAATATATATTTGCATTCGCAACAGTTCATTGTCCTTTTTACTGCCTTTGCCTGTTGGAGCAGGTATGCAAACTCCTGTTTGCCTGCAGTTATTGTCAACATGTAAAATTGAAGCACTTTGTGGATTCTGCTTTGAGGCCATAGTTTTCCCAGGGAGTCTGTTCCCACGAATGTGTTGAAACTAAATTTCTGGATCTCTGTGCTTTGCCAAGGCAAGCTTTATCTTCAGCTGTAATTAAGCCATTGCTTATATATCAGAAAAAAATGGAAGTGCCCTGTAATTTGAATGCACTTAATCTTTTGTGGGTGCTCTGAAATCCCGGTTGTGTTTACTAGTTTATCTTTTATACTTGGGATTGGCCTCTTGCCAATTTAATTTTGTTTCCAAATGAATAGCTTTTATACGTGACTAGACATGTATAAAGTGTCCTGAAATGTCTAGAGGTGGAGGAAGTGTACCAGCTAGAATTCACACACTTGCTCTTGCCAGCAGCACATCATCCAATATTTATTTGTTGCAGGTTGTTGGCGTTCCAGTTGGTTCTGCTTTACAGTCGACAGTGAAACAAGCGGTGGCTATCAGTGGTGGGCAGATACTTGTGGCAAAATCTAGCTCTTCAGTAGCAAAGGCTGTTGGTCCGAAACAGGTTGTGACTCAAGGTGTAGCCAAAGCCATCGTGAGTGGAGGTGGAGGGACAATTGTTGCTCAGCCTGTGCAGACCATAACAAAGGCGCAAGTCTCTTCCACAGGTGCTCAGAAAACTACATCTCAAGGCTCAGGTAGAGTCATTTTATACCTTGTTAATAGCTCATGATGGGCAGACTTCGGGACTCTCTAATGATTTCTTCAACTGCAAAATAACTATGTGTGATTGAAAAACTTCAAAATGAGTATTTTTTTTGAAATTCTGGCTGACTGAGATTAGTAATAAAATGTTAACTCGTTATCTGTAAGGGGGAAGAGGGAGCACAGGTACTTTAAAACATGCAGTCTTCTGTGAGCAGGTATCAGACAGGTAGGCTGGGGAATGTGCTAGAGACCTGGTAGACTTTCATGGAGCCACGTCTCACATTTTTGCCCAGCATTGTGGTTCTTAGATGCTCTAAGGGTCCCACATAAATCCAACCAACAGGAGCCAAACTGTCTTCATTGCATCTTTACATCTTCCCTTGTGCTTATGGTTATGGGAGTGTGGGCAGAAGCACCCTGCCTGCTTCTGCACACAGCTGGCTTCAGCTGAGCACATTACCTCAGGCTCTGGACTGTTTGAAAGGTGTTGCGTGGCCTCTGGGCTGGAGTAAGCCTGTAGACCCCGTGGCTGTGCTGCTTTGGCCTGTAGCCATGAGTGGTGCTGCACACAGAGAGTTTTGTTTTTTTTTTTCCCCCCCAGACCTATTCAAAAAAGTGTCTGTGCATCACTGGTAGAGTTAATCTGCAGTTAGGCCAGCTAAGCATGGATTATCAAAGGCTAGCTGCATGTCACTCCTAGTACTTTCATCCTGTGCGGATTTCAATGCGTGCTACCTTATGCAAACAGTAGTTTTATTTCTTGATATTCTTCCTTTCTAGTGATGGCCACCCTGCAATTACCAGCCACCAACCTGGCAAACTTGGCAAACTTACCACCAGGCACCAAACTGTACCTCACCACCAACAGCAAGAATCCTTCTGGGAAAGGAAAACTGCTTCTGATACCCCAAGGAGCCATACTACGAGCCACAAATAATGCTAGTTAGTCTTGCAGGGAAATCTAATGAGTTAAATAATGTAATCACTGCATAATTAATACATTTAGCATTTTTGCTATAAAGCATCCTGGTACTGTGGAAGTCAGTAATGGGATGGGGTTTCTTTATTCACACCACCACAGTGTGTGGTGCTTTTTAAGACTGAGATCTCACGAGTGTCTTCTGATTTAGATGAAACTGCTTTTCATGCAGTGCTCTCTCCGTCTGTCTTTGCAGAAAGCAGACAGTGTAATTTTCCTCAAAAATAGGTGAAGGGTTGTCTTTAATTTTTTGTTGTGATCTGTAGGAAGAGACAACTGCATTTTCATGATGTAGAACTGGGATGGATTTGATTGCAGTTGTGAAAGCTATTAATAAGTAATGGAATGCCACTCTGGAGAAACTAGAAACATAAGAAACTAACTTTGAAAAGGACAAGATGCTCTATCTGGAATGAGAGAAAGAAATAATTTTGAATTTTGACACAAGGTTTGGCCCCAAGCTGTTGAGACCAGCAGAAACACTTTGTTGTTAATGAGCTTGTGAGTCAAACTTACTGTGAAATACCTGGAGAAAAATATTGCTAAAATAGTTCCGATGGGCAATACTGTGTTTATAGTGTGCTGTTGCTGTAGTGAAAGAATACTGCCAGTTTTGAACGGTGTGGATGAAGACTTTTGTCATGAGCCTTCTCCATAAAGTTCATTTTGAGGCTGGGGGTTGGGGTGGGAGATGGATTGAGTGTAAACCTTTTGCTCCCAGTTCTAATACTGACAGTGTGGAAGAGGTATTATTCAGCTTACTATATGAGCCTGTAAATACCAGCAACATGGCAATAGAGTACGTGTCACTTAAAATGTAGATATTCTTGGTGAAGGCATTTTTGGGCTGCAGAACTTTTGATGGGAGCCCCATTGCTTGAGATTGAGAGGCAGCTGCGGCAGTCCATCCCTGACAAGGAAATAATCTCACAGGCTTTGACGAAGAGCAAATAGTTGTGATTTTTGTGACAGAGCCATAAGTATTTTTACCCTTCTTTCTTAATGAGAGACTGCAAAAAAGTTGGTGTCCCGGCTGTTCTTTCTGAGGGCAGAGCAGTATCAAAGTGTCACTGCAAATTACCACTGCTTGGTATCCATGATCTAATACTGTTAACAAGGTTGCATTGGAACAGCCAACAAAAGTAAAATTAAGAAACCAGTGGGATTCAGAATGTTTCTAGGGCTTTTGCTGCAGATTTATAACCTGCAAGAGACTAATGAAAAGACTGTTCATCTGTTGGGCAGCATCCTCTTTTGACAGAAAATTCAAAACAGCCTGAAATGAGCTTTGCTTGCCCACCAGTCCTCCTTATTTCCCCCATGGCCCGTTTCGTTCATGGCGTTTGCTGAGCTATAAGAAAGCACAGCAGCACATCTGAACTGTGCTGCACTGGGTAATAATATTATTCAGCTACAAAACATGTGGCAGCAAGCATCTTGCAAAGTGTTTTCAATTACTTGTATATACAGGGATGCTTTTGCAGCTGACAGTGTCTGGTTTACCAAAGGGTCAAGCCTTTTCTTCTGGTTACAGGTCTCCAATCTGGTTCTTCTACGAATAGTGGAGGAGGAGGAGGAGGAGCAACTCAAAGCACAAGCAGCAGTAACTTGTCACAGCACCTCACCTATACATCCTACATCCTGAAGCAGACACCCCAGGTTAGTGGTGTGGGCACCTTGAATGCAGCAGATCGACATTTTGGGCAGCAGCGGTACTATGTGGATGTCCTGTGGTTCTGTAGTACATGGAACATTCTTGGACTGTGGGATCTAGAGCCTCTTTAACAATCCTTGCCTCTCCCCTCTGCCAGGCACCTGCTTTACCACTTGCTTTACATCTCTGCCCCTCACCATCCCTTGCAGGGTGGTACCCTCATGGCTTCTTGTGGGCTGAGAAAGCCGCACTGAGTAAGACCAGGGCAAGCAGTGGGTGGAGAAGAGACAGAGTCTCCAAAGGGTCTCCAAAACAAGATAGGTGATAGGACAGAGATGAAGAGTTATCTTAACACAGTAGGATGTATAAGAGTTGGAGGAAAGCAGTAGAGATAGGAGAATAAAGGAAGAATGGGGTAACAAGAACCTTAGGATGTTCAACAAAGACAAATGTAAGGTCTTGCACCTGGGAAAACAATCCAGGAGTGCAGCACAGGCTGGGATCTACCCAGCTGGTGAGCAGCTCTGTGGAAAGGGGCCTGGGGGTCCTGGTGGACAAGTAGCTCAATATGAGTAAACAGTGTGCTGCTGTGGCAAAACAAGCCAACGGGATGCTGGGTGTTCCCCAACATTGGACATTTTTAAGATTCAGCTGGACAGGGTGCTGGGCCATCTTGCCTAGATGATGCTTTTGCCAAGAAAGGTTGGACCAGATGATCCTTGAGGTACCTTCCAACCTGGTATTCTATGATTATTGGAGGGAGACGGCAAGGCTGAGTAAGGAAGAAAAATGAGAAAACAGAAGATTGTGTGAAGGGGTCCATGTGTGGTAGTGGGTGAGTGAAGCCTCTGAGGGGTAGCAGCTGAACATTGATGAGAAACTGGAAGGGTGGCAAGGTCTCAGGTGGTAGGTTATTGGAGTGCACACCTCCAGTTGTTGCTCTGATTTCTGTATGCTGAGATCTGAATATATAGCCTTTGGGGGGGAGTACATACATTTTGAAGTGACAAGGTGACAGAATATCTTGATTTCTCTTTTTTTCCTCTTTTCTTTTTTTTCCTTTTTTTTTTTTTCCGTAGCCCAGCAGTAGCCTCTCCAATCTTGCACGCTAAGCAGCATTTGTCACAAAGGATAAACTTAAAGAGCATAAAATGTGTTAAATTGTAGTGGATGCCTCTGACAAGGCAGGAAACCAGCTGTGGCTTTTTCACCCCTTCCCTTGCATCAGAAAGTGGTGTTCTGCACCAAGAAGAGAAGGCTGTGTCCAGCTCTTAGTGCAGAAGCACTGCAATTAACAGTGCCATCTTTTAGCAGATGAAACGTTGTTCTTGCGTTACAGCTACAGGCTTGTGTCCTGTATTGACGCTCCTAGATTTCTGATGACTTTGTGTTTCAAAGTGCTAACCTCCCTAACTTATTTCTGGAGCAGGGTACCTTTCTGGTTGGCCAGCCTTCTCCTCAGAGTTCTGGGAAGCAGCTGACTCCAACTTCAGTTGTTCAAAGCAATGTAGGAGTTGGAGCATCTTCCACACAAGGACAAGCGCTAAAAGTGATAACTGGACAGAAAACAGCTCTATTTACACAGGTAATGTGCAAACGATGTGTTTCTCTCTTGCCGGTCAGCATTTTGTCAGATAAAGTATAGGAACCACAGTCACATATTATGAAAGCTTTTCCTTTTGGAGTTGTTTTGGGGGTTTTTTTGAACAGTTATGATGCTGGCTGTACTATAAGGAAAGCACATGAAGGCTTACTTTCGTATGCAGATACTGGACTG